CTTGAAATATTTTCAAATTTGAAGCTCTCATATTGAAAAGTGCCTGATATCTAGGGCATTTTGGGGCCTTATTCAGCCAGGTTTTAACCTAGATATATAATAAAGATAAACGCCAACAAAACCAACCTGGAAAAAAAAATGGAAATCATCATTTCCACTTACTCTGAATTTTTTAACATTCCACTAATAACCATCTTTGCATTTTTGTTTGTACAAATTTTGGTCTGTTATCTTTATCTTCATAAAGAAGATTAACCAGTTTATTTCTGTGATAATCTGTGATAAAACCAGATAAGATAAAGACGCCCTAGAGGTGAACACAGGGATAAACCGGTATGGACTGTGTTCTCATGCAAATTCATCTATTTTCAGCAGATTAAGGTCTGCAAAGCAGAGATTACACAGGCATTTTCGAACAAACGGTTGACTGTGAAGATCCAGCAATTGTATTCACTGTGCCTTTATATATCAGGTTCCCCACGGGTGCATCTATCTGAGGTGAGCATTTTCCCCAGCCATTACTCCGTGAGCACTCCACATCCACTTACCTCAACCCTGGGTGCCTCTCAGTGGAAACATTTTATTCCCAGCTTCATGTGATTTATGTATCGCGGAATCTTCTGGGTAAATCTGGTTCAAGATAATCTTGGGGGTTACATAGTCGTCTGAGTGAGCCATAAAATATTTTCCATTCTGCACGTACGTGGCTCAATATCCGGACTAGAATTATCACTTGCTGAAGGAATATTTGAAAGGAGACCATGAATAATACTCCTGGAGCAAAGCCACACGATAAAAATCGACTTAATGGAACCTGAGGCATGCTAGGTCACGTCTTACTTCTTCCTGAGTGTGCATTTATGTGAGTCCTTTTTCTCAATAAATTTTCAGAGGTCCCCTGTATTTTACAAAATCTAATGATAAGAGGACTAACACATTATCCTGATAAAGATGAACTATCGTGTTAATATTCTTAGCTCAGAGAACTGCATGTTGTTTTGAGAACTGTATGTTGTTTTGAATATCCCTGTGTTCTAAACTGTCAGCTCCCTTACCGGCGTTACAAGTTGTTGCCATGCCCTGCCGACATTGTATGCATAGCATTTAATTTATTTTTGGTCTGTTCCTCAGTGGCTGTATCCATTAACACTTTTAGAAACAGCATAGGTGAACAACATGTTAACCTTTAGAACACAATGTTCACGCTGTATACGCTTACAGATGAAGGTGTGCACATCACCTGCAGAGTGGTAAATGTCACATGCGATTTAACTTAATGCTTCTTTTAGACATTTGATGACAGAGTGGACACTTTAGGTTCTTGATGTGTAATACTATGCCCAGATAAGGGTAAATACTGTATTATATTTTCTCCAATAGCATCATATCTCCTTTGGATGGACATTTTGGACAACGGGAATTTCCATCGATCATTATCAATCATGGGATTATGAAAACATTGATGTTCAGCAATCAACATTATAGCACTTCACTTGTAACATTGAAAAGTAGTAGAGTAATACAGTGACAGTCACGCCTTAATGAAAATGTCACATTATGACAATCACCAAGCAAGTCCCCCTCCCCCAATATCTGCAATTATTCCTGTCTGTCTGAGCTACTTCCAATGTTTTATTTTTATCACAAACAAGTCAATGACAGAAAGGATTTTTTTGAGGGACACAGTATCTGATTCAATAACTACAACAAGCTGTAACACATGCTAATGTTCAGTAAAGACATCTTGTTCTTCAGTTGTCTATATTTTATGCTATTAAGGTATTACAATTAGTTCTGTAACACGACTTTGAAGGAGCTTAGTGTCAACACTTGTAGCATGTGCTACTGGTAGTCAGAGATATCAGACAAATGCATAAAATTTGCATGTGTAATATCTTGTGCAAGAACAAGAACAGCTTACAAGGTACAGCTAAACAGCTAACAGTGTTTCAGAAATCTTTCCTATTTGGCTTTATATGAAAAGCAGTGCATTTTTTAACACTTTCTTTGATATTACTGAAAGCAATATACATGTATGCATAACATTTATATTGATTTGTCAGTTTTATCAAGTGTGTTGAAACCAGGCAGAGTGAAAGAGTCCCAACTATGTCTTAAAACAAGCATTTGCAGCAATTAGTAATTATAACAGCTCGCAAACCCTTACCAGAGAGTACCCGAGGGCAATTGTTCCAATAAAAGACCGGAGTAGAGGTTTTTCCTGTCCATTTTGTCACCGTTAGGATTCCAAATTACGGGTTAAGGCACATCTCGGACAATAGCACCTGCAGGGAATGAGGAAATAAAGGTTGACATTAGTGTTTCTGACGGGCATTTAAGTCCCATTTAAGTCTGACTATAGCTGGGGAGACCCTGTAATCCATGTCCACAGGGTAAGCTTAGTGTTTTAGGAATGAAGATAATCTTTGCATCAGTAATTTGTACTTTGCTCCCTCTGAGGATTCAGACCTCCATGTAACTGACTGTTAAAAGGAGCTCCAATACAGCTAGAGGGGTATCGCAATGTTGTCTTGCCAAATTAGAGGTAACGTACATACAGGAGACTACAATGTAGAGATGATCAAAGAATGTATGTAAGTGTTTTCACTCATATTCCCTCAATGGTCACAATGGCTATTAATTCCAAGGAGGTTCTATCAAACCTCGTTGCAACTACGTGTGAATGCATGTATGTTCTGCCTACCCGTGTTTATGATGACATATACAACACATCCTTCCAACATTGGTACATTTACTTTGAGATAACATTGTTTACAGAGCAATTAGCCCAGACAGGCAGATTTATCTGTTATTCTAAAACAGACTGTTTATGTAAGCTAAAATAAGAAACATCCTGATTTGTCCATGATACTTAGGTAGAATTCTGACATGTTGACGTTTACTTTGTTGAATTTCTCCAAATTCAAATCTGGTACAGCTAGATAAGCTGGACAATGAAAGCTGCATTGTGCTGTGAACCCTGCTAGGTGGCAGTCCTGTGTGCAAAATTGATGCAGGGCCATCTACGTGTTATAGCAAAGTGACAGACTAATGATTTGTTGGAAGGATTCTCCTGCAAATAGGAAACCCGGCCAAAAGGGCTCACGCAACACTCAGACTGATTATCGGAGCCTGTCGCTCACTTACAACACAGAGATGCCAAGGAATTTGTAGATAATCCCATATTGTCCTTATCCTAGCTTCCTCTAGCAGGGTAATTGTAGTTTCTTGATTGCGTGCTACAGTGGAAAGGCATGGAATGGGGTCCTGGAATGGCTTGCGTATGTCATCAAGACCTGTCTGCCAAGAAGTCCAGACAAAACATTTAGTTTTTAACTAGAAATGCCCAGTGGAGTGAGCAAATGCTAAGTGGTTGTTTGTGTATGAGTATTATAGAATGTATCTTCAAGAAGACAAGAAAAAAATATACAGAAGCTTGATCTGTTACAACACATGTTACATGCATTAACCTCATGATGATCAACAAAGTAGACAGCAGAATGGAAAAAGTTTGTGTAAACTGTTGTGACACAGGTTCCACCTGTCTGGCAGAGGCATCCCTTCTGGGTGATTGACCTCTCTGCCAAATTATGTGTAAAATTATACAGTTAGTGATTACAGGAGACAAGTGGTTAGCTGGTTTGAAGAAGTTGCCCCTCCAGAAAGTCATAATTACTGAGTCAAAAAGAATTTGTTTGGATGTTTTTGTCTCTTCAACCATTGGTCTCTTACCCTGAAAGTAAAAAGAAGAAGAGAAAAAAGAATAAATTGTTCCGAAAATGAATCAATGTGACAATGAATGAACAAACATGTACTTTGAATTCGTGAAAGCAGTGACATTACTGTAAACATGCTGCATGCACTAGCTGCCTAAATGGCTTGTGTCTACACAAACAAACGAGGCTTAGCTGACCTGCAGCACCTTATCAGCTCACCTTGACCGAAAATGGTAAGGAGAAGTCAGCCAAGAAATAGGAGGCAACTGTGATTACATCTGTGTGTACAAAGACTTTGGTTGTTGTGCAGGTTCCTCCTCCTTTCAGAGTTGCCAAAGTGGAAAGGCTAATTGTTCAGCAGACTGAGGCAGTTGAGAGAGTCAAGTTTCTTGTCTGGCATAGCTCCTGTTCAACTTTCAAGTGCCAACCCCACCCTACCCCAACAAATAAGCAGCAAAGAGATGTTGTTTGTTATAGATGCTCAAACGTTATAGGATCTATCCGTTTATCCTACCGATGTCAGTATCTTTACCTGCTTTCAGAGAGGTATTTTTCATGTTACAGGCTACAAAGTATATTAGGACTTAGAAGAGTTAACACCCCCGGCAAAAACTTCAAACAGACAGAACTCGACTTTCCACATTTTCTTTTGCTGTGTCACAAAAGATTGAAGTTTGACTTCAGACATACTAGTAATTGCCATAGTTGATTTGCCTTGGGGCATTGTGTTTGCAGGCCATTGAAATTAATAAAATGAAGATTGACAGGGCACTATAATGTAATTTAAGATACAAATACACAATAGAAACCATTCCTATGGAGGTACAACAGATGTCAAAACATAAGCAAGCAAAGGCACGCTGCCAGAGTTGAACAGCGTGGCCCAGTGTGTGAGGTCATTGTTTGCACCTGCTGTTACCTGTGGTGTGGGGTGATGATGTCATCTCCAGTGACTGTGATTGGTCAGTTTGAGCCTATGACCTTTTACGTACAATCCTCCTGTTTTCTTGCAAGAAAAGGGGGATAAGCCGTGCAAAAATAGCTGTAGCTGTTTTCATGAACTCTTTAGATAAGCCCAAGACCATAAAGTGCAGTCAAAGCGCTCCTGTTTAATGTAGTAGGTTCCCTGGTCACATGACCCGAATTTTGACACATGGCTCCAACTTCCCGCTACAGTGTGGGCAAACATCGCGATGTTTCCCATACTGTTTATTCCTGGATGGCGATATGGTCTCGCAGGTTAGCTGTAGAAAGACCTTCAGTAAAGGTGCTGCCGTTTAGACACTAGTTATCTGTCTACAGTGTTTGCTATTAGAAGAAAACGTGACGATTCCCTCGCCTATCGCACGCACCCCTCCTCCCTCGTACGTGCGGCGGCGGTTATCCGGTCTTGTTTCTCTTGTTCCAACGGGAGGGCGCGCGCGGCGAAATCAATTAACCGTCCGCGACACAAAAACAAGTACCACATGTTATCGTCGCAGAAAATCAAAATTATACCGATATTTTACACATGCTCCAGCTAGTTGTCAACAACATTGAGCGATGAAAAATTGTAAGGTAATTATGTCGGGGGCACGGCGTAGTTTAGCGCATTGGGAAGTGTAGCGGATGGATTTTTCTTCGGCCGCCAGTGTGCCGTAATTGCTTGGTGTGGAGAGCGTCAGTTGCATGCTTGTGCCAGCCCGCCTGGAGGCCTGAGTCTCCCCGGAAACTTGCCGATAGCGAGCCCACAGGAGTCATAAGAAGGTACGCTATTTCAGTCAAACGTTTGTGTACGATTCAGAGAAATCATGACGGAAATCAGAGTCAGAGTTAAGGTTGTAAAAGGAGAGAACGCCACGTTCAGCTGGGACGTGATTGCTGTAAACAGCGACTACCGCCATTTTGTGTGTGGGTTTGAAAATGTTCGGGCGCACTTCAGTCATGTTATCGGTGCTGTCTCGTTTTCCAGACGGCAGGACAATCACCAGATTAGGCCTCTGCATTCTACATACTGGGAAATATTACGACTGCACTCTTTTAGCACGGAAATAGATAGTTAATTGGTGGCTCGCCCCTCCTCCCTCTTTACTATGTGGCATATGATGTGTAAGACGAGTGTTGCACTTTTTGTGTGTAGCGAATTTGAAACTGTTCAGTTCCTCATAGATCGGCCGACGTAGTAACAGGATTTTACATCGACTTTGCTCATGCAGCAGCATGTTTTACCAACCGTTAATTTCGCAAGAACCTAGACATAAAATTTTCACGTGAAGGCCGCGGGTCAAAGGTTTTCTTCCCACCGGTGTTGCAACGTTGATCTCCCCGTACGATTTTAGTGCCAGGCGTTTTAGAAGGGAAGTGATCGCTGCTGTTTTAGTACGTCTTTGCAAGGCTCCGGAGAGCTAGCGTAGAGTTATTGCCCTTCGGTGAAACCTGTGGCATAAACATGAGGCAGGTGCGCTGTGCCTGGTAGCAAATCCAGGGTCATTCGTCTGTGTACATCATCACCGTTGGTAGGAAAGCTGTTGTGTATGCGGAAGGGGACGCCATGAAGAAAAGGTCGTGTCACGCCCATGAACTATATCTCATGTAATGTGCACACAATGGCCGACGGAGTAGGCCGCTCAGTCAACTGAACGTATTGTTTTGTTGGTGACCGTGGCTTTGGAATAGCGTTAGTGTTGGAGTTAGCTCCACAAGATTAACATTAAGAGTCTGCCAACAGCCAAGTAGGTCACTGATGGTCGTACTTATATCCATATAGCATTCATTTCAAGGTAGATTTTAGCATGAAATTGGTTTTAGAAGGTTTGCATTGGGGCACACTGAGAAGCTTTAGAATACAAATTGCTGTTACAATATTTCGAAATTTGATTGATTTTTCTTTAAACACCCGGTCCTTTTGTACTGATCCCATTTACTTGCGGCAGATTTGAATCAAAGAAACGCAGTAAACTATTACTATCCCTCCCCAGGCATCAACTCATTTGTCCTAATTTGCTGTCCTCAAATTGTGTCATTGGGTTTATTGTACCACGCTTCTTTTATTTAGAAGTATTTGGTACAATTTCTTAAAGCAGATAATTGTTTGTTGCAGAGAAATACAAGAGAAATTACATCAGAATTAAAACTGGCAAAAAGGAATATAGGAAGTGAGAAATTAATAGGAACTAGAAGTAGAAAGTGAGATGTTTTAGGTTCAATTTGTCTAGCCTCCATTTTCCTGACATTTTACTGGAACAACCTGTGAGTAGTCTGCTGATCATATATACTTTATAAACCCCTAAATAGATAGCACTCAAGCTGAGACAGGAAACCTATTGTTCCTGTTTCGTCTTAATGTTTTGTGTAGTTTGGAAACCTAACTACCAGTAGCAAAACTTCGTTAGATTGTATTTAGACGTGCTTAGAAATTTATGCTGGTTGTCATAATTGAGACCTAACAATTTTAAAAGTGTCATGAACTGGCTGATGTAGACTTTTAGGTGAAGGTAGGTCGACAGTTTGTCTGTAGACTAATTTAATTACCAACTATTTCACACTGCCATTGCCAAGTTGTAGCATGACATCATAGTTTCACTCAGCATAAACATACTTCTCTTTTTATTTTGTACTCATTATGTGGCAGTAGATTTTATCTAGAATGATGAAATAATTTGGCAATGTTTGTTCTATTTTTGTTTTGATAGCATTACAGTGTTTTTCCCCGAAATTGTTAGCAGCTAACTTTGTATCTTGTATGGTGATGCAATTTTTGCAGTCCAAAAGCTTTCAATCCCTGCTCAGTAAAAAAGATAGAATTGTTTGTTCAAATTGTTGGAATGGATGCAGCAATGGTATAATATGGATGGTTTTATGTATTCCAGAATGTATTCCATTGGATTTTATTATGTCACAGGCCATGTATTTTTCATGGCCAATAAAAGTGCAAGACGAGGTCACACAAGCCCAATGAAATATTACCCAGCTGCAGTCAAATGAATCAAATGTTGTAGGGTGTGGTGAAGTAATGCTGTTTGGATGCCTGCCATAAAGTAAAGCAAATAGAATTGTCTGAGAGGTGCCAAGACGTTAATAAATTACTGTGAGTGAAGATGGATGGATGATTTGGTAATGGTTGTTTTGTAACTGCTGCTGAGTGATGTTGATTTTGTATAGAAACAAACATTTTTCAATTTCAAAATACTAAAGTCGACACAACCAGGTGAGCAATACCATTCATACACATTCTTAAAATTGGACTTGCAAGCTTTTGAAGTACAGACACTGGTTAAGTCTGTAATTATATTTTTGGATTGACCTGTATAATATCTTCTAGGATCCCTGCTGTTGAAATGTAATATCTTGACTAATTGAGGCTCAGGGAGATGATCCTTGTTATATCTGGGGCTATTAATGTTTTAGTCTGAAACTGGCAGGACTGGGAATAATTGTAGGATAATATTATCCATTTGTGGCACACAGTGCTGTTGTTTGATACATAATCACCTGTGCAGTCTAAATCTGCAATAGCATACTAGCAGTAGTCATATCTTGCAGCAGATAGTAACAATTTAATCCTTCTTAATGTGGATAATTTTTTTAAAAGGTGATGTCTGTAATACACTCCATAGGAAAGTGGAGTGGAGTGTCAATATGACCTGAACAGGTTTGCTCCTGAGGAAAGGGTCTGTTTTCTCTAAAGAAGGCATGACATGAGGGGAAGGAAAGAGCGATCCAGTGACAGGATGCTGCTTCCGTCTGCCTTTCCTAACGTTCCCCTTTGATCTCCTAGAAACAGTGAAGAGTGGACAGCTGTCCAGCAAGCTTGAGTCTGGAATTCAGACCACTACCTATATCATGGCTTTGAACCCCGTTTTGCTTGTGACAGCAAACTGCTTGAGTGAATTGCTTTAACCATCTCATACCTGTGTCACTGGTCAGACAGAGGAAGGTGACACTTCAGCTATGTAAACCAGGACATGGGCTTTGCTGTGTTCATAGACCTTTTGTCTATATGTTTCATCAATTCCTTACTAGAATCAACTTTTCTATGTTGCTGTGGTGTGCCTGAGCTGTGAAAATATTTGCAGTGGTTTTACATGTTACCTAGCTCCTATTCATATCTGCAGCAATTGAAATATAGGGTGCTAGAAATGGTGGTCAGTTTCAGACAATTGCTTTGAAATTGGAGAGGTTTAACCGCTCCCTTAGTATGGTTCCAGTTGTTGGTGTCAGTTTTACAGTGCAAGAATGGTGCTACAGAGCCACGCTTTCATTTGTTTTAAGGACCTGAAGTGGAGCCGCCCAGCTATTATTGCAGACAGCTGAGAAATATGACCCTGTTCATTAGGCAAATATCCTTCTCCTGCCTCCATTACCCTTTTCCTAAGTGCAAATTGTGTTTACTACTGTTTCATGCTAGGGCTGTTGCAAGAATGGACAAGCAAATAACCTCAAACTCCAGGTGCCGCTACATATTTTCTTTTGTTTACTGTGTATCTTGGAGTTTATGTGTTTTTGTTGTAATAGAAGTAGACTAACAGGTTACGTGGCATACTAGTACTTGAAACAGGAAGTTTAGTCCAAGGTGACTAAAAGAAAAAGTGTACATTGTGTCGTTTTTTTATAAAGCAAGTTTAAATGTTTTCCGAATAAGTTTTCTGTGATTGATTACGCAAGTCTATAAACATAAGAATTAGGGATTTTATTAGATGCTGCGAGATCTATAAATATAAAAATTAGAGATTTTATTAGATTTATTAGATCAGTTGAAGGTCAGAAAAATGTTCATACATTTATAAGTAATTTTCCAGTCATTTTTTCTTACATTGTGATAATGAAATAAGGGAAAATGCTTTATTCTCCTAATTTGGCCAGATGCTATTTCTATTATATTGACCAGTTCAAAGTCAAAATCCTCGCAAGAGTCGTATCTATCTTCATGTCTTGTTATAACATGGTATTGCCCACGTTAATGGCAAAAGAATGTTCTTTCATCCTTAAGAAATTGGATGCAGTCTTTTATTGTATTCGGTTGGTTGCCTTCTACAGCCAGGGAAGACCGTCTTGCCCAAGCGGATCAATAACAATTGGCTGTTTGGTATGCAGACTGTGGTCTGGCTCCACTTCAATCTCGTCACAGTAAATTCATAATTCTTAAACCAATCTACGCTGTGTCTTGAGCCAAATGGCAGCCAGGCATTGTGGTGGAAAACAAACTACAAGTGGGACCCTGAGCAGTAAGTCATGCATGAGATATTTTCTTAGGTCTGGCTAAAGTCACCAGTATGTATATTTCATGATTTTAGACTGTGACTTGCTTAAAGGGATTTCTAGATATCTTTGTGCCTTTAGGCCTCAAGTAGAGGGTATCCTCTGGCATAGTGGCAGTTTAGTGGTAACCATAGGTCATGGATAGCAGCTTTTAAATTTTTTTTTAGTCCACTGAATTTTGTGAAAAGGTTAAATTTAATCAAAAGACCGACTCAGTTCAGAAATAACTGAAGGCTGCTCAACAAAGAATCTATTTGCAAACCAACTTTTGGACAATATTTGTGTCTGTTGTGTGATCATTGACAAATGGCAGAAGGCATGATTCAGAACAGAGTAATGTTGGTGGGTAGATCTCAACCCACAGTTTACCTTAGGTTCAGCTCCCTGCTGAGAAAAGATTGGGTGTTTATAGACTGGGGTGAGAAAAGTCAGTGGGCTAGCAGTAATGGGTTAACATGGTAATGACCCACGATGAACAGTGCAAGGATTAACACCTATTTGTTGATTTG